AGAAGGCTCTGGCTGCAAACAAAATAAAAGGGGAAAGATTTTAAAGAAAACGCTCCCCTGTCCAGCACTGCAAATTTTCCTCCCCAGTTGCTTTTTTCAATTGAAGGGGAAAAAAGCTGAGGAGATCCAGCCACTGATCTCCCACATATTATTTAGTTTGGCTCTTAGAGATACTAATGCAATTTCACCTAGCCTGACATTTCTCACTAATATAGGCATTTCTTTTCAGGTGACAGAATTTAAGGGCCTTGGAGGGAAACCTCAAGAATTTTGTCAAAGCTTTTAGGGTGTCTCACAAGAGGCTTATATATCCGTCATTTATTTCTTCGGAAGAAAAGTGGGAAGGAAGAGAAAATGGAAAGAAATATAAGAAAAGCCTATATTGACCTTACAATCCCCATTCTTTCTCTCTGTGCTTTATTTCTAAAATTATTTAAATGTTATTCAGCAAGACATGTAGCAAAATGCTACCCCAAGGGACTTACAATCTAAATTTAGCTGTGCGGGGGGGGGGGCAAGAAGGTAGAAAGAGAATGAATTTACAAATAACAGAAAATTGCAAAAGCTCTTAGTGTGCCTTTAGGTCCGGGAGTGAGAAGGATCTTGGAATTGTTGTAGATCACAAGCTGAATATGAGCCAATAGTGTGATGAAGCTGCAAAAAAAGCCAAATGCTATTTAAGGCAATATTATACCTCATCTTGAGTACTGTGTCCAGCTCTGGACACCATACTTTAAGAAGAATGCCAGCAAACTGGAAAAGGTTCAGAGGAGAGCGACAAGGATGATTAGGGGACTGATGAGGAAAGACTGAAAGAACTGGGCATGTTTAGCTTTAAGAAAAGAAGATGATAGCACTTTTCCAATACTTGAAAGGCTGTTATGCAGAGGAAGGGCAGGTTCTTGATCATCCCAGAGTACAGGACGTATAACAATGGGCTCAAGTTACAGGAAGCCAGATTCCAAATGGATTTAAGGAAAAACTTCTTAACTATTAGAGCAGTACGACAATAGAACCACCTACCTCGGGAGGTGGTGAGTGCTCTGACACTGGAGGCCTTCAAGAGATAATTGGACCACCCTCTGTCCGCTCAGCTTTGTTCTGTATTCCTGCCTTGAGCAGGGAGTTTGACTCAATGGCCTTAAAGGCCCCTTCCCACCTCATTATTCTATAATGGACAACAGATGGCTCCCTGAGAGTGTTTTTTTTTCCAAACCTCAACACACCCATTTTTTTAAAAAAAGGAAAACTGAGGGTCAAAATGACCCATACCTGATCCTGTGGGCCATTGGGAGTGGTAGTTTTGGCATTGGGAAAAATATCTCCTCAAACAACCCGCCCATACTGACACACGTACACAAATACTAAAATGAAACTTCCTTCCTTCCTTCCTTCCTTCCTTCCTTCCTTCCTTTCTTAATTGATGGGAATTTTTCAGACCCGGTAGAACCTTCTACAGGGCTGGGAGGTGAAAAATTGACCTCAGTGAGCCCACTGAGATTGCCCACCCCAGTTTTAAATGTTGTGCGAGGCCTGGCAGAGAAGCTAGCACAATCGGTGGGAACAACAACTAGGTGACTGAAGTGGGAATGAGTAGCCCCATCCCTTGTGGAATAACATGTGATATAGTTTGAGCAATGATTTATGAGATTACTTACAACATGCTGTCAAAGGGCTTGCTTAGTCTCTAACACAAGACAAATCCAAATAGTAAAAAGATACAAAGCAGGGTTTCTTCAAATGCTAGAAACTTTGTGCTAGCAGTATGACACTACATCCTTGGATATAAACACATCACAAACTTTAAGATCCAATAAATAATATGTGAAGAATATATAATGACAACCTACCAACATCAGACATTTGGCATATCAATAAAAGTCCATTCCAAATGCTGATCTATTTCTAGTTTACATAAAATTAGCTTCTAATTTTGGAGGATCAGAATGACACTCTTCTGTCACCTGATATCAGAGATCAGGTAAAAGAGTAATGAGCTAGCAAAAGTGACCTGTTGGCTAAGATCTGCTGGTAGAATTCCTAAAAGGATGGGAGGAGAAGGGGCAAAGTTTGGGAAGAGTCAAATTATATGGAATGATGGTTGTTGTGGGTTTTTTGGGCTCTTTGGCTGTGTTCTGAAGGTTGTTCTTCCTGATGTTTCGCCAGTCTCTGTGGCCGGCATCTTCAGAGCACTGGAGTAGGAACTCAGTCCATATTCTGTTGCTGTTTGTTGGATAGCTGAATATTTATAGCTGTGGGAACAGCTTTTGTCCTTTTCAGGAGATAGGGTGATGATGGTGACTTGCTTGCTCAGTCTGAAACACAAGTGAAATGAAAGGAGTGGAAGCGACACTTCTGCAAAGATGAGAAACAAGATTTCTTAAAGTGGTAGAAACTTTGAGCTAGCAGTATGATACCACATCCTGGGATATGACCACACCACAAAGACAAGAAGTGTAAGAGGAGATTCGTGGTGCAGTGGTTAAACTGTAGTACTGAAGTGAATACTCTGCTCACGATCTGTGTTCAATTCCAATGAGCTCAGATATCTGCCTCAAGGTTTGCTCAGCCTTCCATCCTTCCAAGTTTGGTCAATTGATCATCCAGCTTGCTGGGTTGGTGGTAATATGTAGCTTACATCATTAAATTGTAAACCACCCGGAGAATGCTTTAGTCATTATGGGGTGTTAAATAAGCAGCACACTTTTCTTAGTTCCTAGGCAGAAAAATTGGTTAGGTAGGGCTAAGCTCTGTGGTACTTTGAAATGTTAAGGGTATTGTAGTCTCCCTGTCCATTATGCTCCATATAGAGTGCCTCTCCGGATACTACAGTACCCATAATGTTGTCCAGTGCCACAGAGCTTAGCCCCACCCAGCTAGTTCCTGTGCCTCAAAACTCTGAAATGGAGGATTCTTTTCTCATTCATGCAATTTATGTAAGTTTGTATATCAAAGAGCTGAGAGGGCTTGTTTCAAACAAAAATAAACTTGCATCTCACAAGGTAGCACACAGAATACCGTAGTTCACTATTTGAATTACAGTGGTGTCTGTACAATTATATATTACACATAATGAATTAGAGAACATGGAATTGCATTTCTATCAATAATTTTGGTTCATTTGGAAAATGCTCCATTCTCCTCCCTGCAACCCATTCTGCCTGCTAATATATCAGGACCGGTATCAAAGTTTGCAGGATGTGATGTTAGCAACATGCCAGAATTCTTAAAAAAGGAGGCAGGATGCTGGAGCTGGCGAGCTGATTGCTTCCCTTCCAAGTGGAAGGAGCTAAGCAAATTAACCTTCCATTCATGGTTGGTTTGATGTGATGTGTTCAGTTGTAAGGAACCTATACTCTGGCTAATTTTTTTCTCCAACAAGCCAGTGATAGAACCCTCTAATATGCCACAGGCAATTTCCCTGTCACGTGAAGGACAAGACAAACCAGAGGGCCACATTTAGACATGACATTGAACAGAACACATACAGAAGGCATGTTTGTTTAGCTGTTCCCATTTGCAGTGAGAATTATATGTAAGCTGGTCCTAGCAGAATATTCATGGATGAGAAGCATGGTACGTGAATCAGGTCAGTGTGAAGTAGATACAAAATGTTAAATTATTTGCTGTTTCTTTTTGTATCTCCCTTCCCAAGCTGCGCAAATCATTGTACAATGAAACCTTATGTCTAAAAGTGCATATAGATGTTTGTCCTGAGGTCCAAGGGGCTAGAAACGTAAAAAATAAAAATCCGCACTTTTGTGACTTCACCAAGTGTGCATGCTCATGCAAAGTTCTGTCTTGCCCATTTAATAATATAAGCAGCGCCAGTAAAAATGACACGCTGCTTCCCTTCATTTGAATTAGAGACAGTTCATGTCGTTCTGCCAACTCCTGCGACGTTGCTGGAACCAATTGTATTGGCTCTTGCCTTTCCACTGGACTATTTCAGCAACGTGGAGAGGGGGGATTTGCTGCTTGGGTAACAGCTTATCCTCCATATTATTTTACCCAGGCTTCGTGCTCTGGAGAGGACACTCCAGCTTTGCATACAGCGTTGAAACAACACAGAAAGAGATTGCCACTCTCAAATTGGCCTTTTCAGCCACACTAGAGGCTGTTTCAAGTCCTCCATACAGAGCACAATACTATAGTCTCTCGAGACTGAAGGATGCCTAACTATGTTTAGATTGTTTGAGTTATTTTCTTTTCAGTGCCATCTTCAATGGAGAAGAGTCTGTAAATGTTTGTTTCTGAGTGACTTACTTGACTGTGTTTACCTCTTTAAAGTTTTGCTAGAAATATTTAAACAACCAAAAATCCGTGCAAGGCAGAACCTGGAAAGTAAATGTTGTGATTTAAGTCATGCTTTTTATTTGTTGCGCATGATGAAGTTGCCACCATGTAACATTCAGGGTTTTAAATATGTCTGTCTTACAGAAAGAGAGATGCCACATAAAAGCACAGGTATTTTTTTTCCTAACTTACCCACCCACAGGAATCTTTGGTATTACATGAAAGAATGATCACATAAGAGGTGGAAGTGTTGTGTCAGCTGTTTACCACATGGCCAGTCATCCTCTGGTTGTACAATAAGTCTAACAAAATGGAAAAATCCCCTTGCCTGATTGTTCTTTCACGTTGTTCTGGAATGTTTGTCTTTTCTGGAGCAGACCAATGCAACACATAATAAAATGTTTGTGAAAGTTCCTTCAGAAACAATGTACCATTTGGCATTGACTATTACTTGGTTTTTTTTATTTGTTTGTTTGTTCTTAAAACACTATTTTGAAGCTTCTCTGTTCACATTTAGCTAGTTTAGTGGCCTCCTCACCTCAGAATTTTTTCATTCAATTGCTCAAAAGTAGCTAAAGACTTTATGTCCTCCATCATCTTTCCACTTTGATGCTATGCATTTGCCAGCCAGCTTGATGCTGTAAATCCAGCTGTGCATGCTTGGTTAGTCTATAGACTAATTGTTTTGTTCCTAATTATTTCAGGCTGGTGGTTCGATGCCTGCGGGCCTTCGAATCTCAATGGAATGTTCTACTCAGCAGGACAACACCATGGAAAAATAAATGGAATCAAATGGCATTACTTCAAAGGCCCCAGTTATTCATTACGTTCCACGACTATGATGATACGGCCCTTAGACTTTTAAATTTGCTGAGAGAAAGGAAGAACAATGTGCAGTAGAGTTGCCATCTTCTGAAGGACTTCCTGCAGCATCTTCAGAAGCAGACAGTGGGGACTTCCTCAAAGCATCAAATGGCATCAGTCTTCCAGTAGTCAGACTTCACCTCATAGGTTGCAGTCAATGGACGTGGGTCAACGCTAAACACACCAGGGTACAGATGACGTTGTGACTGCCTGAAGCAGAAATGAGACCTTTTCTGACTATTCTGTGGGCAACATGTCAGTTTAGTTGCCATAAAGAAACTTAACAGTTTTTAACAGAATCCTCCATTCCCTCTTTTTGTGCTTCCATTGAAAGACATTGTACGTCACCAGGTCATATCTACAAAGGAAAAGCAGTTTTGCAGAACAAAAGCATATCATAATCCATAAAGAAAAGGCTGCTTATCACAGCACTGAATCTATGCAAAAGCACGACCGATTTTACCTGACACATGTGCCTTCAAAATATAAAGAGGGCCATTGAAACCATGGCCTGTTATCAGCAAAAGTAATTCAAATACTTAACCTTTTCTTCATAAAGGTATGGTATGTAGGAGTAATTTCTCACTGAGCTCATTTCAAATGTGAATCATGCCCTTAGTAAAGAGGCTTTAAGTCATGGCAGAGAATGATGAGCGATATGCAGAGAGTTGTCATATGCCTTCTATAGTTTGGGTGAATGTCAGTAATCCAGAAAATTGGCATAATCCTTCAGCTAGAATTTATAGCACAATTTCAGAAGGAACCAGGAGTTTTCTTCCCTGAGTGCTATAACTTTGAACTCTACCAAACCCAGTGCGTATGTCACTTAATTATTTTCTTTTAAAGATGAAATAAAGGTCATTTTGTATATGGAATTTCCTTTGGAAAAAAATAGATACAAAAATGCAGATTGCATGCAAATAGCATAACCACATATTTTAATTGGATGGGCTTCATTAAACAGTCTTTTTGGTATTCCGCATGTGCACATGTTAGAGTTAATGACTTCTAAATTGCTAAACCTTCTCAATGCCATTCATCCTTAATCAAAAATAAGTCATGCAAGAGGCTATCAGTTCTTTGTTGTGCTTCAGTTACTGCTGTGAATAAATAAATAAACGCAGGAGAACAAAAGGAGTAATCACAATTATAGAATGTCAATACCATAGGCAGAAAACCAGCCAAATGTAATCACATTAATTTAAGTGGGAAAATTAAACACATACTTAACTCCTTCCTATTTGAAATGAGTGGGAATTCGATGTACTTACTTGAGTCATGTCCAAAATATGTTACTACAGTAAAAAGAGAAAGCTAGTTAATTGATGCATATGCCTTTGCCTTCATTGGTTCTTCACAGTGGGTAACTGTTCTCTAGTACTGAAACCTTTCTTTCTTTTCAAAATGCCTTTAACACATTCTGGTCTTCAATATCATACACTTTCTGATGAATGCAGTAGACTAGTTCAGCCAGCATCTTGGCCCAGTTGATAAGCTTCTATGCAAGGTTTGGTGTGAGCCTGTTATGTATGCATGCATGCACTCCATTGCACACATGATGTCCCAGCAACGTAGGCCTAGATCCTCTTCCGTTGCTGCTGAGTGAAAAGTCCTGGTAGCATTGTGATGAAGGTTCATGCTGTGTGCCCAAGTGTTTCTGTTGTGAAAGCAGTCATCTCAATGAAGAAAACTGATATCTACTTATGCAGTGTCAACTTTTGCTCAGGTGGTGAGATCTTGAGTTCTTATGATGGTGGATCTATTTCACCCCGTTGAAACTGAACAGAAGGTCAGCCTTTCTATGACATCATTCATACAATGGAGTAAGCATATATTTCAGATGCCCAGGCTCACGTCAAACAATGAGTAGGAACTTATGACTTACTTGTAGCCCTAGCAAACCACTCACTCAGACCATTGGTCCATGTAGCCCAGTACTGTTTACACTAGGAACTGCCAATATGGGTCACAAGCAGTCTTCCACCTACTTTTATAGCCCTTATGAGACCCCGAAGGTTTCTGCTGCCACCACTCAGAAAATAAAAATAATGTTCAAAACTAAAGCAAGGAGATGCATGCTTTTGATGTAAAACAAGGCAAGCGACCCTCCCCCCCCAAAAAAACTTTGTTCCTGAAGCATCTGAAGGTGTCTTCTCATGACTATTGGTCTTGAATTGGTGGACATCTTTTTCCGGACCCTCCAAAGAGGCTGACCCTCGCCAACACTGCCTGTCAAGATCTCCTTCTCTCTAGGGATTTCAAATACAGTGGTGCCTCACTTAACAACGATAATCCGTTCCAGGAAAATCACTGTTAAGCGAAAACATCGTAAAGCGAAAATAAAAACCCCATTGAAATGCATTGAAACCCGTTCAATGCGTCCCAATGGGGTAAAAACTCACCGTCCAGCGAAGATCCTCCATACGGTGGCCATTTTCGCTGCCTGTATAGCAAGGAATCTGTCCCTAAACACAGCGGGGAGTAATTTTAATCACCCGACAGTCATTTTGAAACCGTCGTTCACCTGTTCAAAAAACATCATTTTCCAGAATCGGTTCCCAAAGCAGGGAACCAAGCATCACAAAGCAAAATTCCCCCATACAGACCATCGTTTTGCGATTGCAAAAAGATCGTTGTTAAGCGGTTTCATCTTCATGTGGGGCAATCTTAAAGCGAGGCACCACTGTATGCATTTTCCAACCCTGCTTAGAGAGTACAGGAATGGAACCTGGTAGCTCTGCCCTGCTAAGCTACATTGGTACTTCCCTTGCAGAAACATCACATGTCAGCCAGTCATTCATTTATTGATCCAAACAATATTGATTCAGTGACATTAGAAAGCAAAGGGTCACAAGAACCAGCTGAACCACCAGGAATTCATATGTATAATACATCTGATATCATTTCCTCAGTGGCTTGCATGTACCTTCATTCCCATAATATAGCAGCTCATTCTTCACAAATTATCTGAACCATCCAAATTGTATCTTTCTTGTTCCTGTTCCCACCACCTTCCCACTGGTTGTAGTCATAGAGATTAAATAGTATTTTCCCATTTATGGGAAACTCCAGTGTCTTTCCATTGTGCTTTCCTTGACCATTTCCAAAAGTGCATACAGTCTGCTTGAACCTAAGAAATGCCTATCAAATTGACACCATTGTTTCTGGGACAAGAACTCCCAGAAGACCTCAGTCAGTGTGACAAGTGACTATTCTGGGAGATGTGGCTTCTCAAAAATGACTCCCTATTTCTGCTGATGACCTTTTGTATTCTAGATAAGGGCAATACTGTTTCCTATTGGTAGTAGTATCAGTCTGATCCATCAGGAATGGCCTACCAAGGATCCCTTGATACTGCTTGCCACATGTATGTGAGTGTTCTATCTGTGAGTTAGAACCATAGCTTTGCATTCAGAAGCTTCCAGGTTCTATCCTTGGCTTGTGCAGTTTGGAGGAATTTAAAGTAGGTCAAGGATATTCCAGCGACAGTAGATAGTATTCACTTAGATGGATCAATACTGTGAGCTTTTTATACTCCTGCCATTCTGCCATCTTGGTGAAACCCATCCGGTTTCTCCAGGCAAACAGATTCTTGACTTCATATGTGATCCTGTGCACAGCTATATGTGGTTTACCAATGGTCCTGACATGAGAACATGATTGGGTTTAACTGAAGCATTTGCCAATATTAATGAATGTTTAAGAAATATTGATAGTTTCTAATTTTGTATTAAATACAGTTGAATATCCATTCTCTTAATCCATTATAGGCAGATTTCTTCCATTTATGGGAAGGAAACTTGCATAGACTTTGTAAAGAAAACATGAAAAAACAAGGGGCTACCACAGGATTTTTCTTTTCTGTAATTGTGACAGATCACTGTTTCCCAAGCTAAGAAAGGCTTTTGTATTTATGTATTTGTATGTATTTTTCTTTGCATAATCCTGCCTGAGGGGGTTAATTCATTGTGTTCTTCTGGTTAAATTACCCAACTGTTCTTTGCTCAATGATACTTGCATTGCTGCTGCTTTCTCTTCCATTCCAGCAGTCCTCATTTTATATCCAAAGATAGTGGTGCTTCCTAAAATATGTAATTTTATTGTTATTAAAAACAAGTCTCTAAAATAAAAATACCACTGTGTAGATCAAATTGCAAAGGATGAAAAAAAAGGGAAAGAGAAAAAGAATTATCAAAACACGAGCATGATATTTACTGTTTATTTATCTCAGTTTGAACAAATGGGGACATAGTTTCCTATCCTTTATAATAAAACATTTAAAACACATTGCTTGATTCCAGGCTTCAGTTTGTTTGGAGTGTAGATTCCTGTGGCATGCTTATGCCCTGAAGTTCAATGATATTTTTTTTTAAAAAAAAAAAATCTAAGTAGAACAATATTCAGAAGTTCAGACTGGAAAAGGGAGGAGTGATTAAATCAAGTCTCAGTTTCAGTTTCCCCCACCTCTCTCCTCTCTTTCTCCCTCGCTCACTCTCCCTAACAAATAAACAACTCTACATTGTCTGTTCACATCACAGATGATTTTTGCATCAGTTAATTTGGATTTATATATGTTTCTTTCTTAATCATCCAGGCTTCTTCAGATTATGCACAAACAAAACTGAATGATTTGTTTCTCTTTCCCTTAGGACTACCTCCTTCACATCTGCTTTACGCATTCTTTTATTCATGAAGCTAGGCAGTGACCAGTTTTAATTAATTTTAATTCTTTCATCCAGGTCCCTGTGATTGTTCCACTTATGTACCATGAGGATGAGAGGAACAGTCCCACCAGATCTTTGTAATAGATTTATCTACATTTTTCCAGAAACTAAAGTATACTTATACTTGCTTATTGAACACATTCATGGCAGTGTGGCTTCCCTGCCTCTAAAAGCCAGCGCCAAAACTATGCTTTTTAGCTTCTTACAAACAATGCCAGATTGCCACACCAATAAAGAGTTTGTGCCAGCAGAGTGGATTGAATGGTGCAGGAATTGGCTTAGTCATGCTAGCAAAACTCTTGTCTTTACTGAGTCACAGAGTGACTCCTGATCAACTTCACCTTTCCCGCCAATGTGCTGCAATCACAAAGGAAGTGCAGAACTTGCAAAACTTACTCTTCTGACTAGAAATACCAGTATTCCTCGGCAAGAGACTTGAATCAACACCTTCAGATCTCTTTATGAGGTCTCAGATACTTACTATGGATCTGGCCTGGTTATAGGTCTGAACTATGGGAAAAAGTTGGTGTCCATCACACAACCCAGTGTTGAGGGCTACATGCAGGGTAAGATGAAAAATCCTTAGCTGGATAAGCCTCATTCATTCATTCATTCATTCATTCATTCATTCATTCATTCATTCATTCCTTTACTAGAATTATAGTAGCAGATATAGTGGCATTTTCTACCTGTATCAATATATTAATATACTTTATATCTGTATCTATACCTATATCTATCAGTCTGAAAAATCTATTGATCTATCTGTGTGTCTGTCTATCTCTTTTATTTAAAAAACATATATCTTCCTTTGCAGAGCATTGCTGGGAAGCTTGGCTCAGTGGCAGACCACCTGCTTTTTGTGTTACTGATGGCAGGTTATATCCTTAATATCTTCATTTTAAAAGGACTTGGAAACTGGTGGTGTGAAGGTCTTCTCCCTGAAAAAAACACCTACAGTATATGTTTCAAAGGAAAGTCTTTTTTTTCCCCAGCAGTAAGGGGAAGTATGCCATTCCATCCCAGATTATGACTAGTTTCCGGTACTGAAATCCATTCCATCCCAGATTATGACTAGTTTCCTGTACTAAAGAAAGTGAATTAATGTTAAACTGTTTATGGTAAGCTACGTCTGAGGTATCAAAACAATGGCTGAAATTCTGTTCCTTAATTATCCCAGTACATATAGACACATAGTGAATTAGTGTGGCCAAGCAGTAGAGATTGGGGTATTTGTATATGAATATGAATACCTCACACAGGTGGACATAATGAGGGTCCAGCCCCAGAATAATAGGAGAGGATCGTGGAGCCCACAGCAACAGCAGAAGGCAAACAACTTTGAGCCAATGAGCTCTACTGCTAGTTGGAAGTAAGGAAGAGATGGAGGCTTTAATGGTGCCATTTACAATAAAATCAGCTTTCCCTTATCCTGAGATCCTTCTCCCGACTGAAAGATCTAGGAAGGCATACCAATTCTTATGGTGGCACCACAAGAGCTGGCAACCTTACTTCTCATATGCATGTGAGCTTTTCACAAGCAGGGCCTTTTTGATACAGGAAAATCTGCTGTTTCATACAGCAGAGTCTGCACTCTGTACCTCAAGAGTAGTGTCATCTTGAAAGAGCTATCTCATGTGATATACTGTATGGTGGATTGTATTCGATCTCCAGTTTAAGAATAAAAGTTACGGTGAATCAGACTAGAGGCTTGTTGTGTTTAGCTTAGTGGTTCGGGTATCTGGCTGTGGAGCCAGATATTGGGAATTCGATTCCCTATTGTGCTTCCTTGACAGGGGCTAGACCTGATGATCCCTAAGGTCCCTTCCAGGTCAGAGGTTCTAAGATGATATTTCTGAACCAATAAAGTATGTTTCATTTTGAATGAATGTACTAACCACCATTTTAATTCACAAGTAAACTGATTCAATTTGGCTTTCCAGTTACATCTCTAGCCCTAGCTAACTAACTAGCCAATGGCTGAAATTCAGTAGTAAGTTGCAATGAGAGTAAGCCCACTGAATGAATGGAACTTACAGGAGAGTTGACTCACCAAATCCATCTTGATTCAATGGGCTTACTCTGGTTGTTATTTACTACTGGGTTTCAACCAGCGTTCATGGCCATTTGGAAAAATAATCACTATTAGTATATTTAATGTCAGTGAGCATCAAGCTCTAAAATGTGTGACAGAACCCAGAAAATGTCTTCTTAAGGAGTCTTTGGCAGTAGTGTTTCAAGAAACAGTCCATATTTCTACCCTGAGTCAGAAACCCATCAGCCAGATAAATCAACTTTAGATAATATTTATTCTCCCATGTTTAGATGAAGATCCATCCTCTAGCAACCCTTTTATGCTTAAATTTGGAAGCGCTGTCTGCTCTCAAGGAAACTACACACTTCTGGTTTCTTCCCTTTCAGACGCATCATTGAACTGCTCGTTTATTTTCTTTGGGGTAATGAAGCATAACTCCTTAGTGTATATTTTCTTTTCCTTTCTGTAAGGAAACCCTTTTAACTACCCCCCCTTTAAAAGGGTCTGGCTCTATATCTTGACTCACATCTCCAGTATATTATTATATTATATCTTTCCTCTTCTGAAAA